TTTGCGTGAGTTAATTAATTATCTGATACTCTGATAACTGATAAGCATGTAATTACTAATGAGTAATGAGTATAGGAACGCCTATAAAATACATTGTATTAATTGTATTATTTACTTTGATTACTATAGTCTATAAGCATATTATGAACAGGCCTCAATTAATATTACCTTAACCTTAAGTTAGTATTTCCTCGTAAAAGATATTTTGTAAGGCGGTGTATATTATTTTGATTATAGGCTGTTCTTATTAGGTATTTTATAATAAGCAAAAAAACATTTGGTAGTTATGTATTTATGATACATTGATGCACTTGATACAGTACAATTATTGAATTACACATTTACATATTTTATACGTACAAGTTTATTGACAATTTGTGGTCAAGGCTAAAACTTCTAGCTAAATACTGCTTTCGGTTAATCTTGAATATATTTTTTTCTCCCCATTTAATTTTAAAAATAGGGCCTTTTGGCTTAAAATTGTATTGTTATTTTAAACGATTACGCTGTTTCATTACAATTAATATTAAATTTATCTCCACGCTGTTTCTTTTATCTCACATTCCCCCTATCAAATTACAAGCCTGTATAGTGTGTAATATACAATTGTATCTATCGCCGTGGTGTATATCTTGGTTATATGTATATAGTTTCACAATGTATAAATAATATAAGACTGTCTAATAATAATTATTATGTTCTATTTCTATATTAATTTAAGGAATATAATATGTGTATATGTGTATTACTATACATAAAATAGTATACATTTTGATCCTAAATTTGGTTTATAAATGTATACATTTTTATTTTATATTTATTTTAACTTGAACTACTTGTCTAGTTTTGTGAGGTTAATCCTCTCAATATTCTCCGATATCTGCCTATGCATTTATAGTAATAATTTAATCTATTTTGTTGTTATATGTTTATAATTCATTAGTTACTGTATGACTATTGACTACATTGAATTAAACCAAACATAAATTATGAAAAAGAAAGGAATGCATATTATAATATAATATTGGATATTTAGTATATTATATTATAATATTATATAAACTATGGTTTATAAAATGAACCGATTTAAAGGTTCACAATATACGAATATAGATAGACTAATAATTATAATAAGTTATTAATTTATAATATTATAAAATTATATAAAATAATAATTAGTACTATCAATAATAACATCGTTGATGATGATAATAATAATATTCATCAAAATTATTAATCATTACAAATCTGATCACTGCTTAATTATTATAATACTTTCACCGTTCAGCATATCATAATAATATGAAGAATTACTGTTGTTTTATGAAAAATAAAAAATCTAACATACGTATATGTATATTTTACTTCTTTTTGAAAAGTTGTCAATATTAGTTTTTGCATTCTACTACAATTTATATCCTGTCTAATTTTCTAAATGTGACATGATAATGCTAAACATCTGATTCATATAAATACAATAAGTTTAATTTGGTTTTATCTTAGGATTGTCTAATCTGTTTTAGGTGACACTGAAAAATAAGTTATAAGTTATTTAATTAATTTCTTGATTAAATTATAATCATCCTAATAATTGCTTATTATAGTTAATGAACAATAAAGTAATCTTGCTAGGTGTCGAACTCCAAAGTACAATACTATATTGGTTTGGCTGATGAGTCATACCAAAAATAATGGTTTATTGCCATAATACCGTGTATCAGGTCGACTGACTTGTTGTGTTAATATACAATACTATCAAGTGAAAAATGTTATCTTATCTTATTTAAGCTAAAATTAAACAACGTTTAAAATAATTTTATCTCATATAGCTGAGCCATTGATTGAAGGCTTTACTATTTGTTTTTACATTTTAATAATTTAATAACTTATCCATGTGTTCAACGAGTACGGCAAATGGATAATGATTAAAAAGCATTAAATTATATCAAATACGATTATTTTTAAATTTTCTGCATTTGTAGTGTACGATATTCACATTATACAGTAAAGTTGTAGTACAGGGGTACTACAGGTACATTAGGTGATCAAAATAACTATTTCTTGAAATAATTTGATAACTAATGTATAATAATTTATTTATGTGTAGTACTTTTACATAACTGGGGTATTTCGATTAATTTTAACTTGATTACTATTCTACAGAGTGTTACAAATGACAAAATTTGTGGGCTTGATTATTATTATTTATTTAATACTTTTATCTTTTTACTATTATAATTTATGAATTGTTTGATGTTGGTATTACTAGTATTCATAAATTACGTATATTACCTATATTGTTGAACTGTCCAATTCTAATTATCAATTTATAGAATTACCTCGAGAATTATTGATCACTAACTTACAGTATACCATTATATTTTCTTGTATAGGAAAGTGAATCTAATTGGTAGTTTGGGGGGTTTAGGGGTCAAAAGTAAAAAATTCCCAATAGTTTTCAAGTGTCAGGGAAAAATTAAATAACCTTAGATGCATACAATTTTTAAAATATTTTGACTGTTTTTGAGATATTTATAGGCATAAGAAATTTTAAATTTTTATTAGGTAGTTTTTTTTAAATTATTGTTGATAAAAAAATTTTTCGGTCGTTCGAAATACTTGAAAATTATTATTATTATTTATTTGCAGAAAAAATATTACATAATATACAAAAACACTTTTAATATTTCTGCACACCTTCTTTAAGTTGATACTTGTGTTGGAGGTTTAATACAACGTTCCTCATAAAGTGTTACAACAGCAGTTTTAAAATATTAAAAATAGGCACATACGCATGATTTTGTATAGTAAGCTTTTAAAATTCAAAGCTTAGATATAAATAGATTTTTTTTATGAATTTCTTTGCCATTTTTCGAATTATACATATTATTTTAATTTGAAATAATAGTTTCATATTGGTTATTTCTTTTAGCAATAATTTATAACGTTCAGAATAATTATAAATAAAAAAAAGGTGCTCTGCTGTAGAGTAGGTTACAAGTGGGTCACTGTATAATGGTTGGTATTAAATTTGAATTCAATGATATAATATCATTGTATATAAGAAAAACGATTCTGAGTGAAAACGGTTAGCCAGCCTATGATAATCGCCCAGAATCGCCTATGATATTACGAAGTATATTTATTATTTGATTATATTAGATATTGTGAAAAAAGTAATTTATATATTTACCTCTTTACGTGGACCCTTGTTTTAAATTTTCAATTCTTGGCTATACAATAATTATTATACATTTTAAATTTGATAAATTTTGTCAACATTTGAACTTATTAAATGCTTATAAAAAATAATTGTGCCCATGTATTTTTAATATTTTTCAAGTGCTATTGTAAAAATATATCAGGGCCTTGCATTAAATTGTCATACTCTTTTACCCAACAAATACAATTTTATTGATATTTATAGAAAAAAAAACTAAAAAATTGAAAACTGACAATGTCCCCAAACAACTTAAAAAGAGTCAACTTATTTTAAAATTTTTATGGTGTATAGAAAATGCTATTATAACCACTCAGTGAAATTTTCAAGTATCTACAGTCATTCATTTTTAATTACAACAAAATAAAAAAATCGTTACATGACAAATTGAATGAATATCAAATGTTGTAAAAATATGAATTTCAAACAATCATAAAAATTTAATTTGACTTTCTTGTAGACATTTTTTTTAATAAAGGTAGACAAATGTATGAAGAATCTTGTATTACATTTTCAAATCTTAGATTTAAAAAGAAAATTTTTTATGAATGTTTAACTCGAAATAATTTGGAAACGTTCGTCATTTTTACGTATTTTGTCAATATTTGAACTTTAAATGCTTAGGTATAAATAAAAAATTGTGAATATGGATTTTTAATTTTTTTCATGTGCCTTTGAAACAATAAACTAGGAACCTTCTATTAAATGTTTAAGCTTTTTTAACCAACAAATAACATTTTATTGATATTTATAGAAAAAAAAACTAAAAAAAATGGAAACTGAAAAATATGTCCGTTAAGAGCTCAATATAAGTCAAAATATTTGGAAAATGTTATGGTATATAGAAAATGCTAATATAAACATTCAGTCAAAATGTCATGTACCTACGGTCATTTGTTTAAGAGTTGCACCAAAAACCAAAATCGATTTTTTCGAAAACAGATTTTGCTTAAAAATTCCCGTTTTCCCTTAATTTTTCTTTTGTTTTTCAAGGTGCTTTTGAAAACTACTGGGAAATTTTTACTTTTGACCCCCACAACGTACCAAATAGATTCACTTTCCTATCAGAAAAGATACTGTTTTACTGTCCTAAAAGGTGATGACAGCCACAAAAAAAAAAAGAAATAAATATAAAAAGAAAACCCACATCATTGTAAAATCAATACATTCATCGTTCCACTCAGAATCTAAAATACAAGTTATTAGGTACCTACATAATGTTATTAATATTTAGTATTATAATGTATAATGTATATACCTTACCTTAATTATTATTGTTAAATTATTTTTTTGATGCTATTTTAAGTTCATTCAAAAATTGTATTCCAATGGGGCTTGACGAAAGATTTCCTCTTTCAACTAAAAACAAAATTATTGTTTTCCTGTAAAATAGTTTTTTATTTTCGTTCGGATTATTGTAGGTATAGCTTCCGCACCACGTAACTAGAAATTGCCTGAATTTTTACCCCTTAATAAATCATCGGTGGTTCCGACACACTTAACATAATATGAAGATGGAACTAGAACTTTACCATTTAATTGGTGAATAATAATTTTAATATTCTTTAGTCGTAACTTTATAGATATAATATAGTGCATCAATTAAAGTATCCGTTAAGGCTCTAACGGGCCTTTAAGTTTTCATCTTGTGTAAAATATATTTTTATATAATTATTAACTCATACCTATAATTGATAGTATTAAATTCTATCAATGTACAAATCAACAAGTAGCCTACCTATACATTATGTTATTTTATAATGAAAAATTGTTTTTGCAGACATGGCGGCTTCTGTAGATGCTCAAGATTTGAAAACCTTACTGGAAGCAAAGGATACTTTGATTCGTAACCTGGAAACGTTACTTCAGGCCAGGAACAACGAAATCCAAGAGCTCCGGTCCCATTTAGACATGTTTCAAAGTGTGTTTCCGTTTAGCAACCCAGTGTCACCCACTAGTACGCTGCATCATCCTCACCATGTGGTTGCCGCTCCCGTTCATCAACAACAAAGCCAAAATCTCGTTGCTAAATCTCTTACGTCGCTTCTGGACGGTATAGCCAGGCCACGTAAACAAAGGGCGCAAGGTATATCTGCGGAGCCCCAGAGTCTAAGTACCATACAAGAACTGAGCCAAAAGAAATTCCCTACTTATCCGAAAAACGACAGGTAATATTACATATTTTTATAACATTATATTAATTAAACAATTTAGTGAGTGTTGCCTAATTTTTAATTTAAATCATTGCTCGAACAATAGTATTCACAGTATAGTTTTTAATCTTTAAGGGGATTCGATACCGTGATTTTCTGGTTTTGTCTACCAGACGTGCAACATAGTATTTTAGATTTGCCAAACGTACTAATTGATCTAATGAAGCAATAAGAATTCTGAAAACATATTTGAATTTGTCGTCAAGTCTCCTTGAAATCGACTTTACCACATTTTCGATATTATTCTCAGAGTTCCTAAAAATGTCATATTAAAAAAGAGTATTTAAAAATTTTCGTATTTCAATTTTAGGAGAAGTTAAAATCAAAAAAATCAAAAATGTGGGAAAGTCGATTTCAAGTAGACTTGACGACATATTCAAATCTGTTTTTAGAATTCTTATCGCTTCATAAGGTCAATAATTGGTATGTTTGGCAAAGAACCCGTCTAAAATCCTATGCCGCGCGTGTGTTAGACAAAAACAGAAAATCACGGTATCGAATCTCCTTAATGTTAATTGCGCTACGATAGAAACTGGTACATACAATGGTACATTAGTACCTATACTTATATTAAATTAAAGTGTCGGCAACATAATATTATGCACACTCCCACCAACCACCACCATTGAACCACGATTTCAGTCACGGTCGCTTAATGAAAATACTGCCAACTGACTCACTCACGTGAGTCAAATTCTCATGTACTATGTACATTAGAGTATTATAATATCTCACTGCTTTCGTCCATTATTTTAGTTAAATTTAAATATTGATGTTATTATTATTATATAGCCTTTTGTACCTTACATGCTCTAAATGACACAAGTTTCCTTAATTATTCTGTTTTCTATACTTTGTTTCGTGTGCGCTGATCGCCACAAAACTAAAAAAAGATCGAGTGTGCCAATCATCGCTTTTATTCGTATTTTAAATATTAAATATAGTCTACGCTTGGCAGACATTAAAGAGAGGTAGAAAACATGCATACGTGACATGGAGATATCGTCATAATGAAGAATATGTACATCTCAAAAATGGCGATGCCATCCTACAGCAACTTTATCAAGCTTCATGGCTATTGTGACACTTCTAAAGAAGCATATTATGTATCATGCTTTTACATACCTATGAACAATGGAAAATAATGAATCATGTAATGCGCGTCTCCAGTGTGAAAAAACTCGTGTAGCTCCATTCAAAGCAGGGTAGATACCACGATTTCAGTTGAATGACGTATTAGTATATTACTATTAGCAGAACCTTCAGTGAAAATAGTGGATGCATGGTCTAGTAGTATACTGTCCTTTTAGTTGTGGACTGCAGACTCAAGAGCCGTGTTGAAGGTGGTTGAACAGTCACAACAAACGACTCAAAGCATATATGTCACAAACAGAAGAAATCAAATAATAGAAGTCACTCAAGCTAAACAATGGAGACTCGTCCGTATCAAAGAGAACCTTGCGAGAATCTATCTTCTAGAGTCAAACCCTCCGAACTCTTAAACAATGCATTCTACCAATTCCAACCCTAACTGAAACAAAGCCAGTGTGATTATAGCACTAATTTCATTTGATTCATCCAAGAACCTATTACACCATACTCAAATAGGGAAAGGATTGTCCGAGCAACTGCTTGGTTCAATTACGAAGGTCAATAGAAGGGCAAGGATCAACGTGACACAGTATTTGTTGGTGTCCGAATTAAGGTCAGCAGAGAATATATTAATAAAGCGCATACAAAAGAGATGAATTTTTGTTGGAACTCCTCGCGATGATAAGGAAAGAGAGATGCAGAAAGCTAAGAAGCTTATATAAGTGGTATACGTCTTGTCACAACAAAGATGTGGACTGCAGTATTCGTATGTTTTGTTACGAGAGCAGAAGGAATTCTTGTAGAAGGAATTCAATGTCACTTGAACTCACCACACTTCAATGGCCATTGGGAAAATTCTGTAAAAAGTACTAAGTATAATTTGTATCAGGTAATCAAGGATTGCCGCCTAAACCCGAATGAGTCCAGACATTGTTATGCCAGGTTAAGACATGTGTTAACTGCCATCCTGGATCTTACACCAACTCACTTCTTCATCGAAAGTTCATCATTATTTATTCCTACCTTCCAAATCTGACATACCGTGTGAACTAGTTAGTCATAAACGCCGTTGAATACTCGTTCAAGAACTTTTGTAAATATTCTGGTCCAAGAACAGTGGGTGACAAAAAATATTTGAACATAACGACATAGTGATTATAAAGAAAAATTGCACACTATCCGTATATATATATAGTGAAAGTACATACAGGCATTGGCGGAATATACATAGTAGTGACCTTAGACGTACCATGTACATCATGTGCGTCAATCATCGCGATTCTTTTTATTATAAATATTAACTGATCCTTCAGGGTGCTGCCCGTAACAAATTAAATAATTCCAGTGGATTTACCTGTTGTAATAATTATTTTATTTTATTTAACCAATGACGATCTATACAAACAAAAAAATATTCGTTTTTCATAATCCATCAAATGCATGTGTAAGCCCTCTTAAAAATGTAAACCGCTTTCTATTAATATTAATTACAGTATAATAGTACAGTCGTTGCCAGACAAATTGAGACGGCGGCGGCGGCGCGATAACGGAAAATCAGTGGTTCTCTGTATTTGAATATTATTACCGAAAATACATCAATAAACCAACAGTTGTCACAAAAATTATTTTACGATATTAATTTAAAATTAAATATTCTTTTATTTAAGAACAAAAAGTAGAAATTGTAAAATAATATAAATAATGTAATAATAGTAATAATAAATAAAATTTTTTGCTCTGAGCCGAGGTTGAACTGATGACTGCGCGCGTCGTAGCCAACTTTGTGACCTTTGCACCACACTATGGTAGTTTGGGCTACACTTACTGAAAAGCGCCACCGCCGCCGTCTCAATTTATCTGGCAACGACTGTATATCCCTTGTTATCTACTATAGGTACTGCAGGGTGTAACAGGAAAACCTAATAAAAAAAGAAAAAATTATGCAACTCAAACGTATGACAAAAATTGTGAAAATTATATGGTTAGTAAATAATTTAAGAAATATACTCATGTCAAGAAATTTCCAAATAAAATATTTTTAAAAAAGTTATTACGTTCTAAATTAATTTACTCAAAAAAATATTAGTATCTTAAAAAATTCTAAAAAAATAATTACTTGAATTGGATAAACGTTTTTAACATAAAAAAATCAGATTTAAAATGTAACTATTTTGAATTTTTCCAAAAAAATGTAATCAAATTTAAAATTTTTTATTTTCAGTATCAAAATAAAAATATTTTTTTACATTATACGTGTAGCGCAAGTGACTTTAAATTATATATAAAAAAAAATTATTTTATCTGTCAAGTCTTCCTGTTACACGCTGTATATATTATTATATCTATACATATAAAATCCAAATACCACTCGCTCACTGATCTCTGTATCTCAAAAACTACGCGACGTACGGACTTGAAATTTTGAATAGAGGTTCTTCTCATATTTTCACCGTGCAATAAGAAAGGTTTTGCTGAAATTTGCATTTTAAATAGGTGATCAAACGGGGACATTGAGATTCACGATGGAAATTGGAAATTTTATTTTTATTTATTAATAGTTGCCATTGGTTACAGTCTACAGTAGAAATTAGCATTTATTTATTATTGGTTGCCATTGGTTATTCGGGCAGATCAGTGTACAAGCTTGCATCAAATCAAATTATTGAACATTGCCTACCAGGGTGGCTGAGTTGCACTTGCCGCAGCAAGTTACACCCAAAAGAAGTTGAACAATCATAATTTTTTTAAGAGTTGCGATTTTTTACGGGCAACCTGCAAATTTGTTATATTAATCCACCGTATTATATCAAAATAAACTTGGTATAATTTTGATACTTTAGAGTTAAATCATACACTTACGTACAAACACAACTGGGTCTGCGATCTACAGCAGGTAGATTGCCTACCTGATGTAATATTATACTGCTGCGAATCAGAATTTTTATTCCAGGCAACAGAATAGTTAAGATCAATTTTGAACACCATACACCGAATTTCAAATAACGAATTGAACAAATTTTGAGTCATATAGAGTTGGTACATTTAACGGGCAACGAAGTGCACAGGATCAACTAGTTATATTATATAATCGCCGCTTTAAATTGTTGTATTATATTTTTTAGTTTATTCACAATATTGTTTCTGTACGGATCGCCACCTTCAATTGTTTTGGTATACCGTGTGTCCACAAAAATAGAGTACCTTCTACCTATACACACTATAACGCAGTTACTTACTTTAATTACTGAGTACCTATACATATTTTTGAATGGAGACAAATTAATTTTTGTGGGACATGAGACTAAAATTTTGAATCATAAATTCCTGACTTACAATTTTTTCGCTCTTGTACTTTTTCAGTGTACCCTATTTTCGTAAACATAGGGTATATTGATGTGATTTCTATACATGATATTATATCGACTCTTACAGTAAAATAATAAATTTAGTGTAGTTATATACTTCACTAATGATATACCGTTGAAAATACTATCATACCATATTATTCACACGTCCGTATAATTATGGACCACCATTTCCAACAATATATTCTTTATGTAAGATTAAATCCTATTTTTTTTATCATACATTCGTTTTATCATTGATTATAAATACTAGTATTTTATTATTCATTATAATTTATAACTATATTATTATGATATTAATATTAAAGATGGAATTTTAAGATGGGCCTGACGCATAGTAAAACCTTAATCAATTCTTCGCGTTAATTAGAGTGTAAACTGTGTTGACCAGTGTAATTAATTGGTGCATGTGCAAGGTTGAACAATGTCGCCTTGAATAGAGTTTAATTTCAACCTATATAAGGTTCAAATACTCCAAATTGCATAACAATAATAAATGCAA